ACAGTAAGATAAATTTCATGGACTTGGCATTGAATGAATTAGAACTTTGTGAGAAGAAATATAATATATTTTGCAAAAATTAAATTTTATAATGTAGTATTATTATACATATGGCGGCTCTCGGGACAAGATATGTATATATATAATTCGTATGGCAACTAATGTATTAATTGAAGGAATCGTATTGAGACAATACGGGTGATAAATCTTCTTTGCTAATTATTTTGTTAATCTGCATTCTTTATAAATTGTTCGTTTTTGAGAAAGCATTTTTATAGTACGATGTCTTATGAAATGTTGGATTACATAGCATGAAATATCTGTGTTATCGAGGCAGACTCGATTAGGGGTTCAAAAGATTAATACTTTCCCTACAGCACCTATGGAACCGACAATACGGTAGAAGTCTATTTATTGAAATTAAATCTTTAGTTAGGGTCAGATTAAATGAACTGTTGACTATTAAATCCACTATCAAATCCAGTTATCTAAACGTGAAATACGTATGAAAAATTATAGGTAGTGGAGAGAATTAGTGAACTCGAATTATGTTGACTATCTATGATGACTTTAGATGAAGATGTCCGTATAAATGGAACAACATCTTGAATTTGGAAATTACCAGTCAAAATACTGTATCATATAGGCGTGTGTTCTGCTGTATTATCAATTGTCAATAGTCAATAAAGACATATGTTAGAATAGAAGAATAAATTGAAACTTTAAAACTAATTCGCTTCGAGTCTTAGGAATCTTCCTAAAAGTGGAATCCCAATCGTGAGGAAAATGAATAGAAGCGGCTCTCCACTTTTCTCGATTCGCATAATTGCACAAACCTACACGCAGACTGACTCACAATAGAGACCTAAGTTATAGCTTCAGATATGTAGATCTGTTCATCGTGTAATCACGGTACTTGCGCGGTACCGAGTCACTCCGAAGATTCCCTGATGCTGATACACATTCTTTTTCAGGAAGGTAGCAATTTTCCAACTTATATTTCCCCATTTATGTACGACACACGGAAGATAAGTACTCGTTTGTAACAAAACATCGCATATATTCTCTGAATTTTCTCTTCGATATACTGCCTTTGAACTTTGAAATTTCCATCGTACAATCGTTCTTCTGAATAATATTTCTATTAAATCTCTAAACAAAGAAGCAATTTTTATTTGAAATTCAGTAGAAAGCAAGATCCTTAGTTTCTAAAGTTTCAATTTATTGTTCTCTCTTGCCCTATTAAATTTATTAGAAACATTTTTATTTTCTTTTTTGTTCAAATTTTATCTCTGAAATTTAAGTTCACCGTGTTACTCTTACATATTAAAATTTATTAAAAACATTTTTTATATTATTTGTGATTAATAATGGAATTGTTAATAATGTTCGTTCAAATCTTCCAACTCACAATGTTCACAGAAAGACGAAAGACTTACTTTACATGCTGAATTAACATCTTGAATCTCAATTGTTTCTATGCGGAAGAAGAATGGTTTTGTCGTTTTAAGAATAATACATTCCCACAGCGTCTAAAGAGACTACTAACGAAGGAAGCAAAGCGTCACCGCGACTAGTTTAATTAGCATCATATTTATACACCTAGTCGTTATTAAATTCTTGTTCGTCGTAAATTTTCTAATGTCCCCGTGGTCATGCTATCGTTATTATGGAGAATATGCGACGCTTTCATCCGTAAATGGCAATTTCTTGATGCTATCACCGATGCTTTCGCTTAGCCTTTTAACAGTTTAAGAAAAATACCAGTCCTATTTTCACCCTAAACGTTTCAATGTTTCCGCTCGATACTGTTATCATTTTATTCGTGTGATAGGTCTTTACGTTGTAGCAAACCCTTGATAAGCTTCGTTTGCATATACCAAAGTAAGTCGTAAACGTAAAGAGGTCTTCGAAATAAGTTTTACAATTTAACTGGTTTTATCTCCAATCTAAGAATAGTTCGAAAAAGAATAAACAAAAAATAATTTCATAGAAAATTATGGTTATCGAACTGTTAATATACACGATATGTTTTATTAATAACGAAATCGTACACATTAACTGTAGGGATGCCACTGACAACTAATTATATTATCTAATTTTAAACATATTGCTCGAAAATTGCTTATAACTAAATTTGAAATTACAAGACGAAGTGCTTATACACTTCGACCTAAATACATGTATAATTAAAATCTAGCCGTGAATTATACATATCTACCTGGGTCTGTATCATAAGTACTGTGTTAACTTTGAAAAGTTACCGAAGCTTTGCATAATGTTTGCTCTTCGAGCATGAAGATGATGAAAGCACGATGACACATTTATGAAGAGAGATTTCATCCAAGACTAAATTATTCAATTTCGCAAAATTAAATTCCTTTTATATCAAATTTAGTTTATTAGCTAAATCAATTATTATAGAATGATCTCACTTCCTGCAATTCTTACAATTACGACACTCGTGCTCGAGGGCACAACGATTCATAAGAACGCAAACTACCGAAATCCTGATCGAATCATTGAAACACGTCCTGAACCTGACGAAGGATTCAAGTCCACGGGGGAGAAGAATTAATGGTATATACCCGTTACATAACCTACACGCGATGTAATCAATTAGCTTTCAGAGCATTAAGTGGAATCATATGGCTGCCTGTGTAATTTTATCCAGCGACAGTGGAAATGGTCGTCCCGGCTATTAAGTGATTTGTTATAAACCAAAATTAAATACACCACGCTCGTTCGCGGTTAATCACGCTGCTGACGAAAATCAATTACAACTGTTCCACCGCTGATTACGCTGCTAACGTGTAATTAAAGACCCCGTTCTCGACTACTTGTTGCTGATTTCCAGGCACGGGATGAAATATATGTGGAAAGTGTGGATATACCTGAAGGAAAGCTGAAAACCAGTCATTCACCAGTCAAGTATTAGCACGAGAGGTTTTGTTTTAGTTGTTAATTACTAATCTTGATGACACACTTGAATATTTAATCTATATTCTTTATCAACCATTTTCTACATCTATAAAGTGCAAATAAAATTTAAATTAGGGTGTGAAAATATAGTAAAAGCTAGTTGATCTAGAAAGGACGGGGAAGAAAAAGAACAGATCGAGGATACATATGCAAATTTGTGTTTCTCTGAATATGATTAAAGAAATAAGAGCCACGTATCAAAGCATTTGTATCACTTACTAAATATTATGATATCTCGTACGAAGATTATAGAGAAAATATTATGTATAAATTTATGTAATTAAATATTACGAATAATTGTAAATAATTTAAAATAATTGTATAATTTCGTTTAAATAATTTTCTGACTTTTATATTATTTAATAGTTAAGATGATATACTTAAATATAACATAGCTGAAAAGGGGATCAATTTATTCTGTTTAAAAATATAATTCTTTTAGCAACTGATGACAAAACCATGGAGTTTCGTGAATAAACTAACAGGACACCTAGTACCTGAAGTATGATAATCGATACATCTAAAATCGTGAAATACTTTTAATGTAAATATTTCTTAAGGAAACGTCATAAACAAGTTTTTGGCAAGACTCGTAGACAAATTGACTGGCAAGGTACCAGATCTCAAAAAATTCTTATATGAAAAAAATGTGAGTTATCATTATCTTTCCCTTATGTTATTTTCATATTTCTCGTATTCTATAAATTCTTGCATCTTCAAATTTTTCATGCGCACACGACGCCGTCTAACGAATACACATTCGGACTGGTAGCGTTAACGACTCATAAACGATACAATTTTTCAGAAGCAATAAAAGAGAAATATTATCTGGATTAATGAAAAATATTGAATCCCAGGAAGATCACGAATATGGAGCGGAATGTTGTCGTACCATTGCGATTGGCATTTGTCGTTGGCGGTTCTGCAAGATTGGATCGTTCTTGGAGTACTGGCGCATTCCGTTTTAAGTGGAGGGTCAAAGAAATAAAGATTAATCCCGTGATCTTGAGCGCACATAGAGGAAGGATAACACTTGGACAAGTCGTTGACTTTTCTTGAAATTCACGATTAACCATGAATCTTTCCACGATCTCTATCTTTTCACGTGGAAAAAAAAAGAAAGAAAACATAAATCGTAGAATTAACCGTTTTGTACCGCATAATCAGCAATTATCAGAAAAAGGGGGAAACCGCGAATAATTTACAATTTTCTTACCTGATCGTAAGAATCTATAAAGTTTCTAAGAGTAGTTTCCCTCGTTGAGCGATAAAATGAAGGAGCGAGGAAATCGTGGCTAGAGACGCAACGAAACCGATTTAGAATCGATTCATCATCATCATCATCATTATCACTGTGCTACGTGGATCGACTGTACGACCTGCCTCCGGCTCACCACCCTCGTGAAACATTAACGAACCGTGACATTCTCATTTTACAGAAATGTCGGACGAAATGCTCAGTGAATATTGGAACTTCGAAAGTTATTCCTTGGGTGTTTTCCTGCGACTTCTTCTCGATTGTGTTACTTATTAGATTTATGCTAAAAATATTAGAAAAATATTATTTTTGTTCATTTTACTTTGATATACACGTAATAGAATTATCTGTTATGAGGAATTGATACGGGTTAAACTAGTTGGAGAAATAATTGTTGAAGAGAAAAGTCAGATAAAAAGTTCTGAAATTTATTACACAATAAGATGACGAATAGTGTAGTGACCACATTACTGACTTTTATGCATTTATGAAAAATTTTAAAGTGTAAAATTCTACAGAATGCGCATAATATGAAACAATATATAAAATAAACAAAGTAGAGTACCTTTTATAATATTTAACGGATAAAACGATCTCTTATCCAGTTCCAGCTTTTTTAATTATTCATTTAATATTCGCAATCTAGTAATAACAATAAATATTTGTTCATCTTTCAAAAACTCAAAGAGAAATATATTTAATCCTGAAATAAATATGCAAATAAAAATACAACTTGGTACAATAACATTCTTTTAATCACACAATTGGTCTTCTGATAAAGAATGAAAACTGTGATTTGTTCCGTTCTTCGCCTATCTTTCTCAAACTTACTCTATTTGTCAAAATCATTTTGATATTATATGCACGATCTTTAAAAGCTAGATATTTTATTCAGAATTAAATAATTCAATCGAAGCCAATCAAGCGGACAAAAAACAACAATCGAAAGGCGAAGTCACCCATCGGCATTCTTGAAAGGAAGAACAAATGCAGTTAGAAAGCGTTACGAGGCTCTATATTGTTCCATTTCGCTGAACCTAGCCTGATCGTTTCGCGGATTCGCGGCTGCTCCCCGCGAATAGCCATTTCACGCGAGCAGATATTCAATCTGACATGACACACATGTTTCTTACTGCGTTCGTGCCACCATCGGATTGCACGCTGCGTAACTGTGCTAGATTATCAACAGGTCTGCGGAGAAAGTACCGCGAATAATTCATCGGATCATGCGTGATTGATCGTTACAGGAGAAAAATCGTTCGCGGTCTTCAATGACGCGCGTGCACGCACAGGGATATTGAAAATGAAAACGAAACGATCGGACGGAAAGTGGTTTTCATACAAGATTTCTTGATCGAAAATTTTCTGATGGAGGATTCTTTGATCGAAAATTCTCTGATTGAAAATAACTCGATCGAAGACTCGATTTAACGATGGATCGTAAAATAACGAAATGGAGGTTTCAAACACGTTTATACATCAAAGACTGAGGATCTATTTCTTTCGCAACTTATCATGGACCTTCATCAAAGGAAAATGGCAACTATTCGGCATTTTACGGATGTTGCACGCAGCATGTATTCGACGATCTGATTGTTAATCATAAGAATACTTACAACGAACCATGAGCCACATGGGAGGAGTTGTTTTACGATCCTCGGTTCGTAAAAACAAAGAAATCTTCCCTGTGTTACATATGCTATATATAACTTAAGTTTTCTAAAAAAAAAAAAAGAAGGACCATTGAATCGCGTCCGAATTGATTAAAGATCGGTCATCTGTATTTTAGGAAGGTAGTATCTAGAAAATTACTTGATTTTGCATGCGGAGGTGCTAGCTTCTTTTTATCCACATTTGCAAAAGAATGTAAGGGTTAAGGCAAAGGTTAAGAGCTAAAAGTTAAGTAACGTCGAGTGAACAAACGTTGCAATTTTGCCAATTTCGTCGCCAAACGAAAATACCTATCGTCGAGGAGCAAAGACCGTAGCGTGATGTAGCCTCAGGAGGAGGAAGAGTGAACCGTCGAAAAAGCGATGGCGAAGGAACGAAAGAACGAACGAAAGTGTGTCGTCCATTCTGGCACGTATTTCCTTTTCTATGTTCAGAGGGGGGCATCGTTGTTCGGGCCCCGACAAGCTGAAGAGCTTGAGGAGTGCTCGCGGCGCGTTGCCCCATAGTGGGGGCAGCGACATAAGTACGAGACGGCCTTAAGAAAAGCCTTCATTCTGATAGCAGATCGCGATTCACGGAGTCGGTGAACTTGTAAAACGCGGCCAAAAGTAGCCAGTGACCAAAGGTAGCGATCGAGTGTGAAGACAAGAAAGACGAAAATCGGGAAGAAAAATTAATAAAAAGAGAGGAGAAAAGGTTTGATAGCGTCGAGGGGAAGCTTTCGATCAGGATAAAAGTTCGTTCGATGCGCGAGACCGATGAGATCGCGACCGCGTTGGTGATCGTTCACGGGTGCACTTTCCAGTAATTCCTCCAAGAGACACGAGAGATCGAACCTCTATAGATCAAACACTATTCCGTGGATCCCGCTGTTCTTCCAAAGGCAAACGAGGTGGGTAGTGTGAACAAACTTTGCTCGACAGTAATTGCTCAACGCGATACGGCGCGAATACGTAGAAGGACTCTCTGGGCCAAACAGCGTTCGTTTACGTAAGTCGAAGGCCACGATTTCCTCCCGGAGGGAAGACGACTTTGAGTCTCCTTAAAGGAAGGATAGAATAATTATCGAAATCGTTAGTCATCGAGTATATGCCAACAGCTATTAACATCTACACTGACCTTCCACAATTCGATCGAATTTAATTACAGTTAAGTGAAATACTACGATTAAAAATAGAAAGATCAATCTAGGAAACGGAAATACCATCTTATGCGTCTCGATAATCATAGTGAACCTACAACAGTTCGTTGAGAACATTGAAAATTTACAACATTATAATTTAAAAGAATCGTTTCAGGTGGTATAAGAAAATTATAACAGTTTCCATCGACCGCGACGTTTAATTTTTCTCAACAAAATCGCGCCAACCCATCTGATCTCTCAATTATTATTAAAACATTCTTCCTCGATGCGTTTACAAAGCGCACTTTGTAATTTCAGATCGTAAACAATGAAAACACAAAAGAGAGTGTAGAATACGCGTAGCCGCGCCGTTTAATCGCCACCGGAGATCGTTAAATCGTTGCAGTTTTACCACGCTCGTTATCTGTTCCGTTAAAGTTTCCGCGATTATCGGAAGTTAACACCGCGCGTTCGCACACCGGCTCGATTTACTGTTCACCGTGTATTTCTGCGTTTCGTTTGGGTGGATATGTTGCCACCACTCGAGATTCGAGGACGTTATCGCGAAACGGTAATTCTCAGAGACTGCAACAGCGACTTCCTTGTTGCCACAATGTTACACAAGGATCCCGTGAGCTGAGCATCCGCGAGACGCGCTTCGGGACAAGAAGAGGTTACAAGAAGCAGAAGATGACGGGGGGTTGGCGCATCTTTCGAGTACGTTGGCGCTCGGCCTCGAGCTTCCTTACACGAGCTCCTTCAGGAAACGTTTCCTCTCTGTTTATTTTCTAAAAATTCCCCAGAGACGCGGCCTGAGCATTAAGTACCGTGCGCACGATTACCATAATCGGAGTTCGATAATCGAGCGTGGACATCGCGATGCACACGGCGCATCGTTTATGATCCCACGTCGGATGGAAAAAAAGAACGATAAACTTTTTCAATAGATTGACATTACTGACTCGATCGGAGACAAGATGGTGGCTCTTTTGTTTACTGGGTTAGGGCTGTTGTTACGCGAATTCGTGCTTTAGCGAACTAACGAAATATGTCTGAAGAAATGCTTGTACTCGTAAGAATCTATACGAACAGCGCGTATGGGAAACACAATAAATCAAATTGTGTTGGCTTTCTGAGTTTTATTTCACTTGGTGGCTCAGCAGAAGTATTTTGACAATTTTTGACGAAGCAGGGGATCGTCCGACAGATGATATAGGCCTTTTGAAAATAACTGATAAATCTGATAATGTTTTGTAAGAAACGAATATTAGTTTGACTGTTATGTTAGTTTAATTTAACTAATGTTAATCTGCATAACTGTAATGTTATTAATATCTTTTCAATTTTTAAGAAGCTAACAAAACCACGTATTTAATCCCAAAATAAGTGAAAAGATAGGTTTCATATGGAATTGATCGACAACACATTGAATTTTAAAATTGCTCCTCTATAAAAGACAGAGCATGTGATTTATCATCTTCGCACCTGTATTTATTAGAACACGTATCCATTGTGGTCATAGCCTAAGGGCTAATGCTCGATGCCAGATTATATTCGCTATCTCAACAATATACTAGATCGCTAGGTGTATTTTATTTTATGATTTGAACTTTTATGATTTTATTTATGATTTTATTTATGATTTAGATTTAGTATAACATTGTGTGCTCATCGTTATCGAGGGTTCCATATATTTGAGAACAGAATATGGTTCATCAAACTTTTCGAGGAAATATGGTCTATACCGTCAATCCATTTTACTTTTGTAGGCCAATCAGTTGAACTTGGTTGACGATATTCTGTTAGCTGAATCTCTTCACGTCAATATTGCACTCTATCTGTGAAAGATCTACAGTGGCTACAAAAGTACTTTCATGTGATTAAAAAAATTGCATATTACACGAATAAAATGTAGAACCTGATAAAAAATGTGAAAATACTTTTTGCATCCACTTTAAGCCTTTCTAACAAAATGTACTTCGTCATACAATCCAGTAGATTGATAAATCTATCCAATGGAGTTTAAGAATTAGTTTCATGCAGTCTTCGAATAAAATTTTTGTCCTGAAAACCCAGTAATCTCTTTTCCTGTAGATCGCATCAAGCACTGGTTTTGAAAAGTGGAATTTCGTCAACGATGTGAATGTGGAGATAAGGTCCGAATAACAGTTGTAAAATCGTGCACGATCCGGTAATGCAAGCCATTTCACGTGCTCGTCTAACTGTCGTTCGACAATTCTTGGAAAACGTTTCTTTCAAAAAACATCTGAAATTTGAATCATATTCTGTCACTGAAGTATTACTTGAACGCGTACGTATATGATCGACGCGGTAGATAGTTTTGCGGGCGATTTAGCTTTATCGAGTGGACTTTGATGGCAAGGACGTTCGTTCGCTCGCCAAGGCGACTCTCTTCTTCGTTTTGCGCTACTTGTGCGTCACGGAAAGTGCTTTCCAGTCTAACATTAATGACGTCGATGTCTAAAGTTATCCACGGGAGTTAGCGGAACCAGTTCGCGCACATTGAAACGTAACTCGATCGACGAATGCACCAACCGAACGGTAATGGGACGGGATTACAGCCGCGGGAATCGTCCGAGCTTTCCGTAATTAAGATCGTGATATTACCGAAGTCTAGAAATAGGTTGTTCGCGCACCGACCGATAAAATCGTCGATTAAATTACGATGTGACACGAAAAGTATCGACTCAACAACCGCTTCTACACGTGTTACGCGGAAACGATATCGTCCAAACGAATTTATGGAACCGACGAGACTATCATTTTTGTGAACATTACGTGATAGGAAAATGATCGGTAGAATCGATGGTCTTGAATGGTCTCTCTAGTTTTTAAGCTTCGCGTGTATTTCTAATTAAACAGCCGCCGAGAACAGAATGAATGCAAATTGTGCGCACAAAACGCTTCCAGCATGAAAATGGTTAAGACGGTAATTTTTCAAAATGTTATACTTACGACATGTTACTATTATTACAGTGTACGGTTCTCCGACGAAATATAGGTTGTTACGTGATGTTATACAAGCTCCAGATCCATTACTTTCTCTCTCGAGTCCCGATGCAGTTAACGAAAGAATAGTTTTACGATTCAGTCAGGCTAGACCTAACTGTTCGACGTTTTCTTGAATTCCAAAGATCCAGGCAGCGAGTAAAATGGGGCGGCATAAACTTCTTGAAAACTTGATATACCGGTAGTTTGGTTACATGGCGTGTACTAATGAGTATTCCAATCACACCTCAAGCTGCTATGTTAGATAGTAACTGTTGACGTCTATGTACACCTTCTTATCATTGGAATCCATTTTTTAGCCTTATTACATTCTAACGTTCTTTTCTTGGCGTCTTTGAGTAATCTTTCTTACTTCTTTGATGTCCCCGTGCCCTGTCATTTTTCTTCTTTTTATTCCTTTTCTATGTCATATTAGCGAGTCTATTTTTTTATTGTCCGAACTGTTTTGTGTCTTTGTATTGTGTCTTTTTATTCCTAAACTTTTTTGTGTTTATGCACTGTGTTTCTTCTCTTTATTGCCTCAACTCGACTCTATTCCTTATTCGTTTGTCTCCTTTCTGATTCCTTATGTTGCTATTTGTCCTTCTATTATAATTCTTATGTCCTTGCAATACTTCTTTTCTTTATATTCCTTTTAGCCCCTTTTTCCAAAGTTCTTTTTATCTTTGAGAACTTCTTCTTTATCATCTTTACGCAATGTCTTTTTTTCATCGTTGAAATTCCTCCTTTGGTACTTTTGCGTTGATTTTCACTATTGGTTCTTCGTTATTTGTTATTGTTCCATTTTGGGATCTTCTTTGAATTTCCTCCATTATTAGGACCTTCTTCCTGCAAAATCTTTCCATGTCCACGAGGTGACAAATTATGGATACTAGTAATAAGGGCTGGATATTGTCTGTAGATCAGGTTGGTCTAGCAGAAAATTCGCTATCAAAAGAAACCTTTAGCAGGTTCACAGAGGTCAGGCAGTTGCCAGGTACAAATTTGGAGAAACTGATCTTCGGTACCACTGACGGCATTTAACAATACTATCCATATGGAATTCGGCCAATGAATTGAAATTTCATTCATTTTAGAAAAATCGATGACCCATCTGTTTTATGAATCTTAACAACTGCTTCGCAGTGCCTTTATGCTTTAATTTATCTTAAATAAGACGCACGCCTAAAGGTATCTAGTTATTACAATTTATTTATTCATCTAATATAATCCTTATAAATGGTCATAAATTAGTAGAAATCTTTAATATTAAAAAGATAAACACTGAATTATAAATAAATAAATTCTGATAGATAATAAATCGTATATATAATTGTCTTAACGATTAATCATCACCATATATCATTTACTCGATCTTTTAATATAAAATCTCGCTTGATCATGAAGTATGAAGACCGCTACGCTCAAACGCGGTGCCGCGGTAAATGTACGTAACGCGGTGGTCTGTTCATCGAGACGTGCCGATTATCTTGCACGCCAGTGGCGCTTATGAAATAGCTGACCGCTAATTGAAATGTATGAGACGACCAATGGGTTACCGCTTCCTTGGCCAAGGTCCAATCTATTCGGTTCAACCTTTACGAATTCAGAAAAATCAAAGGTGTCATGATGTAAAATTTATGAAATTCTCGCGGAACCTTTCAGACCTCATCAATCATCAAAAAAAAAGAAAAGAGCGAGAAAATGTAACAGGTTACTTCTGCACCAACTTCCCGCTTTGTATCGTTTATTCATTCTAC